GCCATCCCAATGGACTCAGCGGTCGCGCATCAACACCCCAATTTGCCATTTTTAGTGAAGATCATACCCGTTTTGTTTGGTAGGTCAGAAGGAAATACATGCCTTCTAGTTCGACGGAACTTTCTATTGTATAAGAGACGCCACTGCTTTTGCAAAGCGGCTGTAAAAATCGAAATTAGTCCCTTATGCGGTAAAGTAAAACACGCCAAGGCGGTACCCATGGCTACAAGTGGCGCTGCCGAATATCTTCACACTTACGTTCACGGCTAATTAAACATGTCTCTCCATGAGTCGTTAGCGGCCGGTTAGCGCTCTGTACTTAGGAAGTCCATTACTGATTTCTGTGGCACACTTCCGTAAAAGTCCGCAGCTCCGATGAGCGTTCTGAGTATTGGTGAAACAGCGAGAAACAATAAGTACTCGAGTTTTGGAACGCGGGCTTTCAATAAATCACGGGAGGAAGGCATCTCAGGCTGAAAGAGCTCTTCAAGAGGTGAAAGCGCTGTGACAAGTACTCACTTTAGTTACTGATATACGTACCTCAAACTGCACCTCTGCCAAAGAGAGGTACATCTGTGGTGACTCACTCCGCATAAGCAAGTATGCCCGAATGCCCACCGCTCCTAACGCGTGCGTCTGCACTGAAGGCGGCCTCTGCAACAGCCAATCCGAGATTCCATAAAAGCTGGTCTCTACCGGCGGCGAATAAGACGCAGGCATGCCTAGGCCGGTGCTGTCTGTCCAGCCAATAACCCTTAAGGCAACCAGACAATGCCCGTTCTCGCTGCCGCTTGCATGTCTGCTGCTAAAATTCTACTTGGATGCGGCTGGCTCTCCTGGCTGGTCGTAGCTCTTCTAGTCAAATCTCTGTCCATCTATTCTTCTTTCCTCTGCGTACACAATATACTGTTCCTCCTACTCTGGCTTTCCAAGACTTCTCCTGCACTAAGTAACCATGGTCTGAAGATCGCAGTTGCTCGGGTTTAACTCACTTAACCGCCTGCGATACATCCACCTCTTTGACATACTGCATGCCGACAACGTAGTCCTATCAGCGCACGTCATATCATCCTGCTTATCTGTTTTACTGCCGTATTTACGCAACAGATTAGTCACTTGTCTTCCAGCATGACGGCTTTGGCAACCTAAATGTCCCGGATACGCATCCTCCAAATGGCACACAAAAGGTCGTACCTAAGCTCTCGACTATCAAGGCCCGGCATAATCCCGGCGACTCTGTCGCTATTCCTTTTTGGTCCATAAGGTGCATATTAGGAACAACCACAAAAAGTGGGGAGTTAATGGTAGAGATCGCGGCGGACAGGCGGCACTGGGGGCTGCACTTTTATCCATCCTCCGCCTGCATATCTAGGCCAGCCACCCCTGTGTACGTCCCAGGGGAATGTGGCGTTGATTTTTGTACTTCCTGTCACCTGCATCCCACTGACTAACGGAAATGCGCGGTTTACAATTCACTACCAGAAAAAAAAACCGAAGCGGCAGAGCTCAAAGACGAACAAACTTGGATTATCAGGAAAACATGCTTCGACAAAAGTGTTGCAGTGCAAAGCGCAGTCTCTCATACATGGATGGGGAGTAAATGTTGGAATTAGGTTTGGTCAACTGCGAAGTCTGATGAAACGGAAGGCTGTTCAATGTGTGTCACTTCATAATGCGGAAATTTGAAAGGTAAAATAAAACTTCAAAGACACACCGAAATCCCATACAATGAACATATGACAATAACGGCTAATAAACAAATATCGTAATATATCAATGCTTGGTCGTAGAAACATGTCAAGAAGGCTGTATTGTCCGGATTTTAGCTGAG